GGGCCAGCCCAAGGTCCTACAGTAGGTTGTGTCACTTGGGGTATCGTGCTCTCATTGGTTGACTGATCGTGACGTCAGCGTCAGTTCGCTCGCGCCAAATTTGAAAATAGCTGTCAACTCAATTTTATTTTAACAGTAATTAACCGAATGGACTATAAAAATATACTATCGGTGTGGCATAAACAAGGTGTGGGTGTACTTCGAATGATGAATTTCAACCGGATCGTTTGTTTGCGAACTGATATGTAACGGATAAGAGTCAACCTAACCTCTCATCCAATATGGCCGCCCTTCTCGCACCGGCGGCCGGCAGATTCTGACAGATGTCATCCGTTTCATATCTTGCTACAGAACGACCATCTAAGTCCAAACTTGGTGCAATATCTAAGTAGGGGACAAAATAATGATATTCTCAACATTATTTTTCCTTAAAATGAATATTGTAAGTGAAATTGTGTGAACACTCGATCAGCTATTTGAACTGCGGCGCGAGAGCACTGACGGTGACGTCATGATCCGTCAACCAATGAGAGCACGATACCCCAAGTGACACAACCTACTGTAGGACCTTGGGGCCAGCCCGCAGGGCAGCGGTGCTCCACGGGCCTGCTGCCTGCATACACAGTGGGGTCTAAAAAATTGGCCGACGTTACAGCTTTGCAGGAGCGATTTTTTCTAAAACATTTGGGTGGTAATTAAGTTTTATATGGGACATAAATCCTTCAAAGTGACCCTGCTGTGGCTTAATTTCTTTCGGGAGTTTTGGCTTTGACCGTTTAAAGGTATAGACTACTTCAGCAGTTTTGGTAAAAGGAAGGGTGAAATTGGCAACATTTCATTCTTGGCTTCCTCAGGGATGCCCTGCTGGTCCTAAGAATACATATAACAGTAACAACGTGTGGGGAGTCCAAATCTGACCTGGGATTGATTTATTAATTTATCCACCCTGCCACTGTGAAAAATAGTAGAAATGTTTACAGGAAAATTTTCCTTGACGCAAGTTGTAAAATTGCAATTTGTAATCGTAAAACTACATGCAGTGCATATCGACTTAAAATGCATTGGTGAGTAAAAAACGTGCTCTCGTAAATTTACAATTTAAATTATAATTCGAGTTTACAATTTTTTTGTAAATTTACGACGATATTTTTCAGTTGGGCGCAATCAGTATGGGAAAATCGATTTTGAAGTGCTAGTCTAACCGCACGCGACAAAAGGAGTTCTCTCCTTCACTGGCAAAACTAACGTTACCGAGGTAACGTTTCTTGACGCGACCACGCCAGGTAACGTTTTGTGATGCTACCAGTTTGTGATGGCCCTATCCTTTTGCATGGGGTAGGTCGCATCAGGAAACGTTACCGGTCTTGGTCACATGATGAAACGTTACCATGGTAAAATTAGTTTTTCCAGTGTTCTAAGCCCCGTGCAACTGTTTAA